TTCATTCCAAATATGCTTATATAGTCAAGGGATTAGGTTTGAGGGAGTTCCAATATATATACTCATATGCTTATATGGGCCAAATATGAGCTAAATGATATCGGCTAAAATTGCGAGATTGATATTATTTATGGGTTTTTACCCATGGTATATGCGGTATGGGTAGTATACACCACACCATTGCCAGGAAGCTGGGTACAAGAATTATGCTCAAGTATGTACCATACCCGCCTCCTTATCTTAGCTTTGGTTATCGGGATACTTGGGGCGATATTTTGAGAATTCTAATCTCGGAACCAATATGAATCGATCAGAAAGCATATGCTAGAAAATAGTAAAAGTATGTACACGCCCTAAAGCTTTTGTTACGTTATTTATTAGCAAGAATAGAACACAAAAGGTCTCATTTACAAGCTAAAAGGTCTCATGCTAACGTACAGAAGATATGATTCTCTCCATATAGAGGAGTATTCAGATTTATATTTTGCGGGAGATGTAGATGATAGAAAATCCACATCAGGCTATGTATTTACTCTCGCAGGGGGAGCTATATCATGGAAAAGCTCCAAGCAAACCATCACTGGATCGTCCACGATATATGCCAAGTTTGTAGCATGTTATGAGGCCACGGGGCAGGTGAACTGGCTAAAGAAATTTATGCCCGGGTTGAAAGTGGTCGATGACATTCATAAGCCACTCAAGTTGTAGTGTGACAATGAGCCAGCTGTATGTTATGCTCATAACAATAAGTTATGTGGTGCTGCCAAACACATTGACAAAAAGTTTTATATTATGAAAAACAAAGTCTGGGATCATTCTATTAATCTCGACCATATAAGTACAAAGAAAATACTTACGGATCCGCTTACAAAAGGCTTACCCCCAATGTGTTCAGAGAATACTTAGCCGGTATGGGTTTACGGTAAAACCTATAATTCTTAGACAATAAGGGTCTAAATGAGAATCTGTTTCAAAACAGAGAGGTGTGTTGTAGCTGCTAATCCAATGGTACTAACTGTTGTGACGAGGCACGCTCTATGCGTTAATCTGTGATGGAATTGAAAAAAGAGATAAGTATTTTAAGTTTAAGTCATAAGGTGAGATAAAGGGGGAGAATGTTAGGTTGATCTCCACTAAGTTGGCCTAACGGCCAATTTGGGCCTTTGATCCGTGCCCTGATCAGGGACGCCCAACCCAATCATGATTGGTGGTCCTCCGTCGCGCAGCGCTATAAAGAGGAAGGTGAGGGGCGGGACACTGGGTACGAGGTTCACTGTAGCCGTCAACTCCTCACCGACATTCTAACCCTAGTCCGATCGAGAGGGCAGCGCTGACAGCGACGGGAAGCGCCACCACCCTCATCACTGGATCTATGCCGTCGGGACGAGCACCTCAGCGCCTTCACCGGAGCCACTCACCCCGGCGTGGACCTCGTCACCCACTCCATGGCTTCATCCGCCTCCAAGCAGGACGGTCAGACCCATCTACCCCTCTTCCCCTCTCTTCTTCCTCTCTAGTTCATGTACTAGGATAATCTACTTGTTTATGCCATGATTAGTGAAGTTTCTACCCGCTAGATCTGCTCCTAATGATCCTATTTTTCTAACATGTCTCGTATCTATTCATTTGGAAAACAAATGATAATGTGACACAAAATGGTCTTTAAAAATAAGAGTACATCAAATGCTAATTTGACTGTCTACTTTGTTTGACCATTGATCGTCTGTTGGAGCTTAAAAATCGCACTAAACAGACAGAAAAAGAAAGATATGCTTCACAACAGTGCACGGGCCATGGCCATGTCGACGAGTACAATAATTATACAACCACAATATATATAGCAAACAAGAGCCTTGGAATTGGCAGTATCCTATAACTACTACCCATCATGTTCGGCCGTAGGCCACATCCACCCACTGCCTGCCCTGCAGCGAAACTCAACTGTGGACTTGGGTTTTGCCCTTCAGGCAGGCTCACAAGCACTCCTCGGTCAGTGGATCTGCAGGTCGGCAAGCCGCACTCTGTCCAAGTGAGATCATGGAACAAGAACACAACCAACCGGTCCAACCAACACAACTAATATATACCATAACCCCTGCATTTTCCTGAAAATGATAGCCTCTTTAGTAGTAATAGCGTAAAATAACAGCCTTTTGTGCAAATTCGATCTTTTTTTAGTAACTTATTACTTGGTTCTTCACTATTATCGAATCTGGACCATATGGCTCGAATGCATGTTCTCAAGGGCAGAAAGTTACACATTAGCCATTAGCTAGGTGTAGTGTAGGTCTCCTTCCACAGCAATCCTGCATATGATGTGATGCAAGTATTTTAGAAACTTCGGCTGGTGCAAAACCCGGCTTGATCCGCTTTCTTTTTCACCCAGAACGGTGTTTTCCTCTCACAAAAGCAACCGTGAACAGTAACTTTCCGCCACAAACAGTGGTTTTTTTTTGCACCAGCCCAGCGGGGCCTAGAAATGGAAGCAACATGGTGCATAGATTGCACGGACACGGATCCAACACTGACACACACAATCCAGCTGTTAGTAAAAGTATCAAAAGTACCGGATGTTTAGGACAGGTTCAATCCCTTCAATATGCCAAGTGTTTCCTTAGAAGATTGGTGCAAACCCAAAACTAACGATGCAGCTATATCATCAAAAACATCATCGGCACGCACAATTTCTCATTTCTAAACTGCAAACTTTAGAACGTATCGTTTTCATTTGTATAAGAAATGGATTCTCGAATGCATAAAAGAAATGTTGCGAATAAGCCTCCAGCGACGTGTCCTATATGTTGTTTATGACCATTTACTTTTAACTGATCCGGCGTGTTTCTAGATCTTCTGACTTTTGGAAAGGAAGACATGAAGACGTTACCTCTACCCTTCTTCATAAGCTTGCAATGGACCAGCCTAGTCACCACAAGAACCAAGAACATTGCCAATGTTCACTTTTGCTAATGCTTGTCCCTGAAAGAGGACATCCCAGATGAGCATAATTTAAAATTAGAGGCATCAAGGTAAACGAGTAGAACGGAAAGGTGGTCATGCCAGGTAGACAGTGACTCACCTCAAAGTTCGCAATCGACCGGTATATGTTCCAGCTTTTCATGTACCACTCAACAGAAGTTTCTAAGCTTTTGGTATGATTCTCCTATTGACAGAAGAGAATCACTCAAATTTTCCTTATCGTGAAGTTTTGCTACCCTTTTTATACTATTATTTGTGCTGGAAAACAAATAGTTACAGGAATGAACCATGAGATTATTGTATTGCACCTCAGCGCATTGCTAATATTAGTGGGGTAAGCATAAATGCATCTGCCTATTCTAATCGATCAGTTCTGAAACTTAGAAAGTAAATAAACATATTGATAGTTGGTTTCCAAACCTAATATTGCAAATGAAGTTATGTTTTGATGGATTTATCAGTCTCCCACACATGTTGTGTCTCAGGACTTCAAAATGGGCAGTGTGACATTTCTGACGAGGCTGGCCACACAAATATTATGTAACAAACCATTTCCCTTGGCACCAACCTGACATTGGAACTCTAGCAAATAGTTCCATTAAATCAAGCTACTTCCTTTTATTTACATTGCTCAGAAAAATTCCAGGTTAACAGACAGCAGCAGTGCAAACAAAGAATGATAGAATACAGATTATAGTCTAAAGTTGTCTCACCCTAATTCTGCCAGTTAAGTTAATAATAAGTTCCAAACAAAGCATCAATATTTCTGATGGACAGAAAACATTATTTCGTATCTTGGTAAACATTTTGTCGATGTTCAGATCATCATTATTTTTTCGAGGAACCACATACAGGTCCAGAACTCCATTTCAAAAGATGGAACCAAAAACAATGGTGTCTTAGTTTTCTCTGTCAGAAAAAATTATCATGCATAACTTATAAACTGATGTTACGCACATGCATAAATTGGGGTAGCAAATGAAAAATAACTTATTTGTGAAGAAGATCCAAACATTAAAAAGATTATGATGGTCCAAGTTCACAGCTAGGTGGCACTTAAAAATCACTTCCTAGTTACCATTCAGTTAACTTACTTTTTGCCATGCACATATCATTCTTGCCTTCTCAATAAGATTATCCAGCTATGCATGCTGATCAAAGAGTTTTCTCTCTTTAGACATCCCACGAACATTAGAAGTGTACATTTGGTTTGTGAATTATGCTATCAAGAACTTGGTAGGTGTAAACGCACAGGCTTGCCAATTGCCATCGACTTCCACAATACATAGCTACTTACTATAGTAGCAGTTTTTGTTATTCTTATTCTCTCATGCTAGACAGCTAGAGTTACTCATAGCGGCAACGTGCTACAAACATGCAGTCAGTGTCATTCCCGAACCTTTGTACTCTGTCATTAATGATCAATATATGTGAGTCTTTCAGCATGCAGGGAAATGAACTTGAATGGACACAGGCATCATAGTAATGGTGTTCTCTCATCAACACACACACACACACACACACACAAACAAACACAATAAAAGAACTAGGAAGCTGAGGAAGCAGGAGAAAATATACACTCAAAAGCAGTTGACACAACACAATGTAGGTAGTACAGCACCACATGTATATAGCTGAATTGTATGTAAAATGCATGGATGAAAGGATTGTTTCTGTCAATTATAAATCAAGTATTGCTAATTCGATTGTGTAGTTCTGTCCTCTCCGATACAAAAGGACTGGGGCGCTTGTCCCTGAACTAAACAGAAAGCGGATCTCGTGGGTTCTGATGTTTCATTTTCTAAGGGCGTCTAAACTGTGCTGCTATCAGCTATCTAGGATAGAGAACATTGTATAATTAAAACAAAGATGCTTGTATACAGATATTAAAGAGAATACATGCTGCATCATCGATCATCTGTGTAAGCTAGGAGTCTAGATATACAATGAAGATGTCCATTCTATAGATGCTAAAATAGCTTGCTAGCAAGTTGAACTGACACCTTTTTAAGCATTCTAGCCTTCTAGGTACTAGAATATACCGACTTGAATCCATATATGTCAGAAAAGAAGGAGTTCAGCGCATCTATACTAACTCCATTTTTCTCAAACAACTCCTCCACGTCCTCCCAGTAGATGATGCTTGTGTTGTTGCGCACAGCCAGCAGTAGTGCCTCGTAGGTGGCTTCATTAGGTACAAGCTGATCATGTGATTTCATCTGGCGATACAACAAGAATGCCCCTTGGAGTTCCCTAATCTTGCAATACCCGTCAATAAGAATGTTGTACATCTCTGTCGTTGGGACCAACCCTGCTTTGGCAAATGTTTGCAACACCTTTTCTGCACTTGAAACCTTATCAATCCTGCAAAGCTCCTTCAACAAGGTAATACAACCATTATCCGCTGCAGAAACACCATTCTTTGCAGATTCTTCAATGATGCCCAGTAACTGATCTTCATTGATTCTACAGAGGAACTCCAACAGGCTTCCATGAATGATCTTATGTAATGTCGTCCCTTGTATCATCATCTCGTGGAATAAAGCTGTAACATCTCCCAGCCGTTCAGCCGAGCAGAGTTCTGCCATCAGCAAATGGTAGGTGCATTCATCTGGCTTGAAGCCTGCCTGCTCCATCTGAGCCTTCAACTGGAGTGCAGCCTCCAGATCTCCATTCTCATTCTGCTTCGGGGTCAGACCATTACTCAGTCTTTTCAAGTGGCAATTTATCATGACAGTATATGTGAAACGATTCGGCGCCAGGGATATGTCTGTCATCTCACCAAACAGCTTGACAGCTTCGTCACCCCTCCCTGCCTTCCAGAGGCCGGCGATTACCAAGTTGTAGGACTGAGCGTTTGGAGGTGCCTTATCATCGTGGCTCATATGGCGGAGCCAACGGATGGCCTCATCGATATCCTGTGCCATAATGCAAATTTCTACCTTATTCCGCAGCATGTTGCCTGGGCAAGCCCGGGCTTCTGCCAGCATCCGGAACATTTGTCGCTGTTGAGTGGATAGCTTGATGCCCCCCTGCACCATCCGGGTCCGTATCTCGGATGCGGACTCCAGGTCTCCCTTCTTCAAGTAATCATACATCATGCAAATGTACCTTTTACGATTTGGAGCCACGGGCATATCCGCCATTTCGCCGAACACCTTGAAGGCGTCGGCCCCCCTACCGGCTGCCCAAAGCACGTTGATCGCCTTTTTGCGCTGGCGCTCGCCGGCAGCCGCGAGGATCTCGAACACGCGGCGCGCATCCGCGTGGCGTCCGAGGGAGAGGAGCTTCACCATGAGGTGGCCGCAGGAGGATCCCATCGGCAGCCGCGCCGCAGGCGTGTCGATGAGGAGCTCGAGCAGCCGCAGGGCGCCGTCGGGGAGGTCCGCGCGCGCGGATCCCTCGACTAGCGCGGAGGCCACGGCGATGAAGTAACGGGCCTTCCCACTTGGGGCTGCGGCGGCCACCGCGCGGTAGAGCTCAGGGATGCCCGAGGGTGTGACGGCCTGGGAGCTTATGAACTGCTCCGCACGGTTAACAGAAGCCAGGAAATTCCGGGCGGTGAGGAGCGCAGAGATCTCGCTGGCGACGACAGCGGCGCTGGACGGGGCGACGGAGGAGAAGGAGAGGTGGCGAGGGAGTAAGAGGAGGCGCGATTCCATAGTTTCAGCAGAAACGATTCCGCTGATCTGATAGAGGTACTGGCTTGGGGGCGGCGGCAACTCCAGCCCCCCTACGGCTGTGGTTTCGCGACGAAGAAGGCAAGCGTCTGGCAAGGAAGAAGAAGAGGAAGCCAGCCCTGGCTTCGTCGATTCCTGGCTTCGTCGCTGGGCGGCGGCAACGCAATACTGTGGTTTCGCGACGACGTGCGTCGGCAAGGGCCAGTGGCAGCAGAGTAAGAACACGGGCAATGTAGGCCGCTGGTTATGGCAGAGGCTCACCGGAAATGTGGATCCAAGGATGGCCGCTCGAGTAGAGCCGACAGCCGAGTGGGCGGCGGCGTGCGAGGGGCGGCGGACGGCGAGGACGCCGATGCGATCGGGCCGCCATCCTCTCAATACTCCAACACAGGGCCCACCTCGGCGTGGGCTGCCTTCCACGTGTGGCGAGTTGGGTTCTGGGCCGAAAGGAAGAAGGCCCTTTAAACTTTTGCATGCAGTAGCCGTGCTTCGTGGTCGGGTGCCCATCGTGTCCGCCCGTTCCAGATCGCACGGGCCGCGGCGCCATCCAACCCCACGCGGCCCACCTGCAGCGACCGGTTCTCTCCGTTAAACCCTACCGCTGCTCGCGTCACCATCTCTCCGACTCACCCCTCTGTCCTCTCCGTGCGCCTGCCGCCGGCGAAGCTTCTGCCCTCCCCGGCGTCGGGTTCGGGTCGTCGTCGTCGGCCAGGTAAATCTGCCTGCTCCTTCTCCTTACCCCCTCCCTACTCTAGGTATGGATCTCGGCTCTCGACGAGTTTCAGGGGGGTGTTCGTAATTGCTAAGATCCGTGGCGGTTGTTTAGGTGCTGGATCCGTGGCGGCGGCGGCCATGGACAAGAGCATGCTCGGCGACCTGGACGCCCTCCCTGAGGAGGACAAGATGCGGATGGCCGCCATGATCGACCAGCTCCAGATCCGCGACAGGTTAGTGCCATACGAACGCATCCTGAATCCTGATGCTTACTGGTCCCTGCTAGTCTAGTTTCGAGTTTCGGTTAAGTTGAAACAGAACGCGACCCTGTTGCTCGCGCGTAATAAGATTTTGAAGCGTGAATTGGGCTTTGTGCTCTCCTACCGCTGGTTTTCACTTTTCAGTGAAAAGTATTGCAAGTGATTGGCACACTTGTGCGGCGCATTGCAACAGAAGCGTTTCGATAGGTATCCACTAGATTTGTGATATTGCAGTTTGCACCTTGTACGTTGCAAATCATGCGAATCAGTATATGTTTCAACGATTTCTTTTGGTTGATTGAAATATAAGCATTGGTTTCGTAGGCGTCTGGCTGTGTATGACAAGCTGCTCAGTGATAAATACTTTAGTTTGCCCCTGTATTATTGGGATGAGCAATCGTGGTTGGGAATGGGAAGGTTATTACCTAGTCGAGCAGTCGAATGGAAGCTAACTGCTTTCATTAGATTCGGAAGGTGCCAAACCGTCTGGTGAATTGGTGCCCAGAGTTTGTCGACTTAAAAATTGAATTACTTGGTACCCTTAGCTACTCCGTCTGTAAACAAGGTTCATGTGGGTCAGAATCGATAGTTCCAAGGCTTCTTTATCCCTTTCGTTTGTCTGTGAAGTCGGTTTTGTATATTCTGTATGATAAGTTCTGAGTTCTGACACATTGGCTTTGTTGGTTGGTGGTTCTAGGCTCAAGCCAAAACCTTTTATCGGTGATTCACAACTGTTGCACTCAAAATTGCTCATTCATTGATTCTAGTTTACAGCATTTTAGATACCTGGAAAGGGGTGAATTTTTTCAAGGTGCAGATGCTGGAGCCAGAAGTGCTAGTGTTGATATTTTGTTATTTAAGGGTAGGAGTAGGACTAGGTGTCATACTGCAAAGCTATTCAAAAGTGTTGAGAAATAAGGATGTGATGGTGGAATAGGATAATATTTCCTGTAGAATTAATGAATGATCCTTGATTTTGATTGTAGCAAATATTGTAATGCTTGACTTAATTTAATTGGTGTTTCCTGCAAATACTTAAATGCTTGACTTAATTTTAAGTGGTGTTTCCTTGTAAATTTAATCTTGACATCTGTCTAAAAACTCCCGCAGATCCTGTTATGCTTGACTTTAATTTCAAGTGGTGTTTCCTCATAAATTTGGGTTTACCTTTTTGTCTAATTAATTAAAACCTCCTGCAAATGCCTGATGGTTGGTTTCATTGGTCCTTCACGCCTTCCGCATATATCTGTCAAATCGCATATCAAGAATAATCACATCTTTGTTCTATCACTTTGCAGTCTAAGAATGTACAATTCCCTGGTCGAGAGGTGCTTCACAGACTGTGTGGACACATTCCGCCGCAAGACCCTGGACAAGCAAGAGGAGTCATGCGTCCGCCGCTGCGCAGAGAAGTTCCTGAAGCACTCCATGAGGGTTGGCATGAGATTCGCTGAGCTTAACCAGGGTGTGGCCACGCCTGACTAATCGTGCCATGCCGGTTTCATTGCGCCTACCAAGTTTCTAACCTTGGGGATTTTGTTAGCACAGATTTGTAATCCTAAAAAGATTTCGGCACTTCACTACCTGAGATATGCGACCAACCGAGTTCGGTTGCATCTTGAACCAAATGCTGGGTATCAGATTGAATAAAATTGCCTTGAGTCACTGTATCCAAGGGTTAGATGCTGCGTATCGTGGTTGATTCTGTATCCACTGATAGCTACATAGAAGTGTACTTCGTTTCATACTTGAGTCAGCAGGTTTTTGAGCCACATAAGTGTGTATTATTGCTTGTATGGTCAGATATTCTTTGTTGTGTAGGCATCATGATTCAAGATTTGTAGAGGCACCTTTCTTCAAGCCGATTGCCGACTCTTGAGGCACTTGCTTTCTTTGATGACAGCAAAGAATGCAGCTACTATGCACATGAGCTCAGCATGCCATTATCGGTGCAAGTTTCATGTAGTAAATGCTTTTGGCTGCCATGTAAAACCGAGAGATAAACTGCAGTGAAAGATCTTGTTTCGTTCATCAATCTAAACCGCGTAAATGAAACACTCTACTCCACTAAGAATATCCTCATGTCATGAACTGCTGCACATGGAATTGGAATTTAGATAGAAGAGCAAAAGGACCTCCTGTAAGGAACCTTGTCTTGTCATGATCTCATAGCAAGCTGCCACCGAGATGGATGAGATGCGGACACTCCTACTCCAAACAACATTGCATGAAACGGCCGATGTAAGGAACCCCCTGCCTACCACACGGCAAATTCGACTCCGGCGGCTTATATAGGCTGCTGAAATTCAGAGATGGTAACCCCCTGCCGGCTGCCAGTTTTGTTTGTGGCAGCTGTGCCCCCAAAAAGGCTTCAATTGTTCATTTGGCTGCTCATGCAAAGGCGGATTCAATGCCGGGTAAACCTGCTGCGGAAACAGATTATCGACAGTGCTGTATGCGAAGTCTGTGAGCAAGAGGATGAATCCGCAGATCATGTGATCGTGGGATGTCCATTTGCAAAGGAGTTCTGGGCTAAACTTGGCATTGATCTGCCTATGGACACTTCCAACGTGCCAAGCGACCTGCACAACATTCAGCGCCCTGCAACCATCCCTCGGAAACACTGGAGCACCTTCATAGCGCTATGCTGTTGGCAGCTTTGGAAGCGAAGAAACAGGGAGGGTGGTTTTCAGGTCGGAGCGAACAAGCAAGCATCCGTCAGATGTCGACAGCGTGCGTCACTGATGCGAACCTTTGGAAGCTGCGGCTCCCGAAGGACAGAGCAATTGCTGAAATTTGGTCTGGTGTTTTCGGAGCAGCTATGTAATACAAAAGTAAGAAGAACGAGTCGCAAAATGACGTAATTTGTGGGCATGTTGGCCTTCGGCCACCTTGTGCTCACTAGTCACTACCTGCTGCATGGGCGGATTTAGGGGTATTCCCCCGTATTACAAGGAATACCCAACTATTTTGATACACTTTTACTTAGATATGTGTATATACTTATATATATAAATATATAATGCTATAATCAATAGTATTTTCGCACATTTAAGCTCGAAACAAGTAAAAAAACTGGCCTTTCAATTAGAAGACTAGATTCTAGAAAGCAAATATTGGTTTAAAGTTGCTGATTTGCAGTGCTATTGGCTATATTTTAAGCCTATGGATTCAATTTTTTTATGACGTGGAAGTGGGAATACCCAAGTTTTAAATCTAGCTCGGCCACTGACCTGCTGCATTCTCCGAGGCGTAGTGCCATGGGCGAAGCAGAGAAGGTGCAGGACTGCAGGTCGGTGCTGTCTGTAGCACTGTAGCCTAACCTACTGAAGCCGCTGCTTGTGTTTGGTTCAGACTTCAGAACTCACAAAAACGGCCTCGTGCCTCGTCGACGCGTCAGCCGTCAGTACAATGTTTGGTCGAGCATCATGTCGTCGTATGCCATGATGTGTGCAGAGAGCATCTTGAGCTCTTTTTACTTGTTTTTTGGCTCTTTGATCACTAGTGTTGGCATCAAGATTCGCATCTTGTCATCATAGTCAAAAGGCTGTAAAGCACAGCTCATCTTGAAAGCAACGATAGGAATCAAGTTCAGTCGTTCGGTGTGGGCGATCGACAAATGCTCCCCCAACAAATTTCAGCTTCGATGAGATTTGTTGCAAGTGTTTTGTAATCAGGAGTTGAAGTGAAGCAAGGATAGGATAGGAGTCAAGTTCAGTTCAGTCAGTGTGGACGATCGACGCAGCCTACCGGCGAGGCGAACAGGATGTTGGTTGGGTAGCGACGGAGCAGCAGCTAGCAGCTGTTTTTCTACCAAGCACCAAGCACCCACAAGGCCACCAGGAGGTGAATCCGCCGACGAGAGTGTCAGGCTGCGGTACAGCAGCTTGCGTGGATCAAGTGATCTGAAGAAGGTTCAGTTCTTAAAGGATGCATGCGCTCTCTTCCTCCTCCTCAAGTGTCAGACGAATTCAGCGTCGAATGCTAGGACAGAGTGACAACAGACAAGAAAACGCTTGGCGTCGATCTAAGCCTTCCATGTTTTTTTTCTGAAAAAAATGCTGGCTGATTTCTTGAGATTTAAGTAAGGTTCAAAGATGCTCTACTGCTGCTGCTGTTGGAGCGTAGGGGATGGATGTGGTGCTGCCAGCACTCAGCACCCAACTAAAGCACACTGAATGACTGAAATGAATCGAAGCATGATGAAGACAGGCAATTCAGTATCTGCATACATGTATGTATAGATGAGCTCTGCTTCGTCTTGGTGCTCATCGAATAAGGTAGCAAGTAGCATGTCTCGATCGTATGGCGTTTGCAAAGGGATTCCAACTTGACGCTGTGTGCCCTCCCCCCTCATGACATGACAGCAACCGCCTTCCCATCTTGGCGGCAGCTTATTCAGTCAAACCTCGTGCCGAACCTTCTAATTCGTGTGACCGTGTTTCTGACCCTGTAATAAAAGCCATTCACTAGATCTGCTTTATTATACTAGTAGTATCATCTGACTGGGGAATTCCAGGCGTGCGTGCTTGAATAGAATTCACAGCGGCCAGATTAGACTTGCTTGTGTCACATTCTCCCCTATTTTATTACGAATACGTCCCTGAATATATTGTCCTCACTCAAACTAGCTGATGTTTAAGCAAATTATAGAAAAAAGCATGAATATTGTAAAACAAATAAGCATATTATGAAAATATATTTCAGAATGAATTTAAAGAAACTAATTTGATGTTATAAATCTTTGTGCATTTTTTCTCGTTAATGATAGAACGAGGACGTCCTTTCCGGAGGCCCTCACTCAAAAAAAGAACTCCCAACTGAAAGGTCTTAATGGCTAGAGGGGGGTGAATAGCCTAATAAAAATTTCTACAACAACACTTAACAAAAGGGTTAGACAATTATGAGGTGAAGCAAGTGTTGCGCTAACCTACTCAAAATACAAGTCACCTATCACAATTCTAGTTTAGATAATATCTATTCACACAATAGATATGACACTACCCTATGTTAGTGTGCTCTCAAAGGCTAACTAAAGAGCCACACCAACCAAGCAAGCAAGCTCTCACAACTAGCTACACTAAAGATCTTGACAACTAGTTTGCGGTAATGTAAAGAGAGTGATCAAGAATGTTATACCGTCATGTCGAGGACGGAGCCAATCAATCACAAAGATGAACAATGAAGACCAATCACCTCGGAATCAAATGATGAACACAATAATTTTTATCGAGGTTCACTTGCTTGCCGGCAAGCTACTCCTCGTTGTGGCGATACACTCACTTGGAGGTTCACGCGCTAATTGGCTTCACATGCCAAACCCTCAATAGGGTGCCGCACAACTCAACACAAGATGAGGATCACACAAGCCACGAGCAATCCACTAGAGTATATTTTGGCGCTCCGCCGGGGAAAGGTCAAAAACCCCTCACAATCACCATGATCGGAGCCGGAGACAATCACCACCCTCCGCTCAACGATCCTCGCTGCTCCAAGCCGTCTAGGTGGCGGCAACCATCAAGAGTAACAAGCAAAATCCGCAGCGAAACACGAACACCAGGTGCCTCTAGATGCAAACACTCAAGCAATGCACTTGGATTCTCTCCCAATCTCACAAAGATGTTTAATCTATGATGGAAATGAGTGGGAGGGCTTTAGCTAAGCTCACAAGGTTGCTATGTCAATGCAAATGGCCAAGAGAGTGAGCTTGAGCCGGTCATAGGGCTTAAATAGAAGCCTCCACGAAATAGAGTCGTTGTACCCCTTCACTGGGCTGGACACGGGCGACCGGACGCTCCGGTCATATTGACCGGACGCTGGTCCTCAGCGTCCGGTCGCCCGATGGTGGCCACGTGTTACCTGCGTTCAACTGTGAACATTTGATCTCAACGGTCGAAAAGTTGACCGGACGCTCCGACAGAGCTGACCGGACGCTGGACCCTCAGCGTCCGGTCGTTTCTAGTAAGGGTCCAAATCCTATTTTTGCCGACCGGACGCGTCCGGTCACGCTTGATCGGACACAGCCCAACGTCCGGTGCTTAACCCTAATCACTGTGCCGTCTGACAGCTCGACCGGACATAGCCTTTCAGCGTCCGGTCGCTGAGTGACCCAGCGTCCGGTCAGAAGACCGACGCCAGCATCATTGCAACCAACTATATTTCACCTCTAACTTCTTTACCCTTATTCAAATGTGCCAACCACCAAGTGTATCACCTTTTGCACATGTGTTAGCGTATTTTCACAAACATTTTTAAGGATGTTAGCACTTCACTAGATCATAAATGCATATGCAATGAGTTAGAGCATCTAGTGGCACTTTGATAACCGTATACCGATACAAGTTTTATCCCTCTTAATAGTACGACTATCAAACCTAAATGTGATCACACTCTCTAAGTGTCTTGATCACCAAAACAAAATGGCTCCTACAATTTATACCTTTGCCTTGAGCCTTTTATTTTTCTCTTTCTTCTTTCCAAGTCCG